TGTGAGTGTTTTTATTTTCAACCAGAAATAAACAGCAATTTAACGGTGTTCCAATAAGAATTCATTGGTCAAATTTTCACAGAATGTTCTTTAAGATAAAAATCTATATAAAAAACGAAAAAAACTATTTTTGATTGAAATTCACAAATAAACTGCATCTCTACCTTAATTAGGACTTGAGCTTTTATTGCTCACTGTGATGACAATTAAGTTGCGTTCGAGAATAGATTTCACTCCTGCCCGGAAGTCAAGTTCAAAATGACTATTTTGCAGTAAAATAATGATTGCAGTGAACCAAATTGGACATTAATTGACTGGGAAAGGGAAATTGAAGTATATTTTGCCCAGTGGCGAGAGATTTTTTAATTAGTCTATCTATCACCTTCAGTGGTATCAAATTAAAAAAAAACGGTTAACTGCCCCCAATGCAGCAAAAGACTTTGTCTTCCTCCACTGAGCCTTGCCTGTTGTCCAGCAGCTTCCCTTGTCCATTGTTTGGTATCAGCGTATAGCAACTTGGTGCAGCTTCTTTTCCATATTGTAGTTTTTCATAATGATACACGTAATAACAATAATATTGGTAGCCATAATGATTTGAAATCTGCTTCTATTCATTCAGGATTCTTTTTGTTATTGAAATCCTCTAAACTTCTTTAAATTAGACATGATCGTCAGATTTTACTAGACAAATTTAATTTGGCAACCCATCAGACATTTTGGCTGTCCATCAGTCGTCCTTTCTAGGACTTGCCTGGACTGATTTTGTACAAGGATAATTAAGTCATATTGTGAAATGCATGTTGATTCGTTTTTCATTTGGTTGACCTTTGACAGACTGGTGATCAAAAAACAAAAAATCAACATTTGAACTAGCCTGACATGTAGGCGTGTGTAGCGCCCTCACTGGCCGAACGGCATCAGACCTCACTAACGCCTGACAGAATAGTGTATGTCCCGTCGGCAAGATCAATACTTGCAAATTCGTGAAGTTCACGCCTTCTTACAATGAGTTCAATGAATATTCAGTTTGGTGGTCATGGTAACACCATCACATTATCACACATTATGTCAACAAAACAAATAAACTCTGTCGTGATTGGTTACTCTTTGATGGCTCAATATCTGACGTTCCTACAATTTGATTGGTACCGTCCAAACATCGTTCTGTCAGGCATGTGTTGGGTTTGGAGTGCCGCTGAGGGCGCAACTCACGCGACCTCGTCAGGCTACATGTCTAACTCTCTCTCAGGTGTGCCTTGACTAATTTCATTCATACATGGCATGTGTTATTAATGCACATAATTTTGTTTTATAATTTGATTCAAAGTAGCCAGTTGATGGTCATTTTGCTCTTTTACATGTTTTTAATATTGCCTTCAGTTATTTTTTGATTTCAATGAAATTTATGTCTACTGGCTAAAATTATAAACTTCAAAATGACTGAGTCAAAATAGCATATAATGGTTTTCATGCGACATTATGAGAAATCCAACTTAACAAGGACTGAAAAAAATAACATGACAAATGTAGTCTATTGACTACTGTATAACTCTGATGTGTATTTAATCATTATCTAATATGTACACAGTACATTAGAGTAAATTTTATCACTGTTTATGTCTGGGATTAGTCATTTGCATACCAATATACAGTGTTCTCCACTGTGTTGGTAAAAATGCAATACTAATTTGCATAAAATTTGCATATTGTTCTCAACATAAATTACGATTACATAATGCACATAATCATTCACTTACAAAACTCTTATTACATGAAGAGAGATATGACTATGCAAAAATTTGCAGTTTTCGGCAATTTTATTTATAAAATCATAGCACGGTCAAATCATTGTTGAGAGGTAAAACAGTGCACTTCGGCAATACACAGTCACACTGTTTGTATCCCAAGGAGAACACTTTTCTGTGCTCTATTGAAACTAACAGTTTTTTGTTTTCTAATTGTCAATTTTACTGAATTTAGGTAGCTCATTTGATTTCTTAAAAATGTAAACTCAAAAGCTACATACTTACTGCAGTTTTTTGGTCTTTCTATAGAGCATACACTTATGTATATTAAAGTAGTATTTCTTTGTTCAAAATAAATAATATTTTTTAATTAAGTATAAACAAATTTGATTTTTCTAATGGAGTAAATACGGTAGGTTAGAATGATTTTGTGATATTCCCATAAATTGCATTTGTGAAATTTCAGGAAAATGTATCTTTTGCAAAATATAACAGGTTTCCATAATTCTAACTGATATGTTAATATTATTATTATTTTTTAGCACACCGATCTAAGTCTGTACCTAGACAAGCATAGCGGTGGATTGAATCCCCACAACGTGTGTTTATTTTTATTTCAATTATTACGAGGTTTATCATACATCCACGAGAGAAGGATATTACACAGAGACTTAAAACCACAGAATTTATTGATTAGTGAAGTTGGTGAACTCAAATTAGCAGATTTTGGTAAGTTTTATTATCGGCCAATTCAGTGTATTCGGATGAAAGAGTTTCTTAAATTCTGTGAAGGAATACTCCTCCATCGACCCTTGTATGATTCTACCAAGAGACTGTATAATTGACCTCGATTGACTCCATAGATATGGAAGAGCATGTAAATTATGTGTCCAATCTTAGTTGGCGTAGCTTATAGCAACGAACATAAAACACAAAAAGGTGGGATGTTGAATTTGCCAAAGAGGGCGCACTTTAATATGTTCTGACTGAACAGAATCTGTTGGTTTGCAATGGCTGGATGAATGGATGTGTAACGTAATTTATTGACTTTTATGTCTTCCGTCATGCACATATCTGCCTAGAAAAGCTATGATGATGTTTGCAGTGCATTCATATACATACATACATACATGTTTATTTAATAGGATTTAATAGAAAAATACTACTTCTTTGAGTAAATGACTGGTTCTTACAAACTAGTCACTGTGCAATTGCTATGTGCATGTTTATAACACTGAAATGCAGGCTAAAATGAATAAATATGGATTTGGTATCAATCAAAAAATTCAATAATATGAATTTGAAAGAGTTATATGTTTGTAACATTAAAAATTTAGAACTAGGAATGCATTTCGTTTGTCCAATCATGATTACCAATGTGGCTGGGTTTAATAACTCATTGGTGCAGCCCTCCCCCCCCACCACCACCACCACCACCAATGAATGTGAAATGAAAGAATATTATATTTATGGTACAGAGGGCGCTGTTCACTACATCTACAGTACGATATGTGACAAAAAATAAAGTACTGTAAAACATATGTTTTTTGATAATTCAGTTACTTTGTACATTTCAAATATTGAGAAATATAAGAAAAAAACTGCAGATTAATTTGAGCGAGAAAGTCAAGTGGTGAAAAGCTTAAAGCGAGAGGGTTGTCACCTGCGCACATGTGGGAATTGAGTCCCAAGCGACGATAACAACACACAATAAAAATGCAAAGGATCGTAGGTAGACACATGTTTGTAAACGATGATACGATATGGCTATCTGACGCATGCGCAGATGAAGACTCCCCCGCTTTAATTCAGATTGTTGTATTTTATACATTGAGTCAAATTTGAAAAAATGGCATGTAGCTATTTCAAATTTTATTACAGTTTTTTCTACTTTCTGTAATACATTCATTATTATTTTGACAGGTTTAGCGAGAGCCAAGTCCATACCTAGCAGAACATATTCACATGAAGTTGTGACACTATGGTATCGACCTCCAGATGTGTTATTAGGATCAACTAACTATTCTACCCAGCTTGATATGTGGTAATTTTTTTAATTTAACCTCCTCATCCATGTGTATATGGGATTGGCCAAGGGTCATCTAAGTTTATATGGAATTGGCCAAGGGTCATCTAAGTTTATAAGGGATTGGTCAAGGGTCATCAAAGTGTATATGGGATTGGCCAAGGGTCATCAAAGTGTATATGGGATTGGCCAAGGGTCATCTAAGTTTATAAGGGATTGGTCAAGGGTCATCAAAGTGTATATGGGATTGGCCAAGGGTCATCAAAGTGTATATGGGATTGGCCAAGGGTCATCTAAGTGTATATGGAATTGGCCAAGGGTCATCTAAGTGTATATGGGATTGGCCAAGGGTCATCTAAGTTTATAAGGGATTGGTCAAGGGTCATCAAAGTGTATATGGGATTGGCCAAGGGTCATCAAAGTGTATATGGGATTGGCCAAGGGTCATCTAAGTGTATATGGGATTGGTCAAGGATCATCTAAGTGTATATGGGTTTGGCCAAGGGTCATCTAAGTGTCTATAGGTTTGGCCAAGGGTCATCAAAGTGTATAAGGGATTGGTCAAGGGTCATCAAAGTGTATATGGGATT